CTAGAGGAAAGAGTAATAAACTTTCACATCTCTTTATGTTCTTTTTATTTTTTATAGAGATGTTAATGTTAAGCTGTATGAACATAGGTTCTATAGTGAGTGAAGCTTTTGTGAAATTTGAATATGCTGATGAAAGACATAGTCTTTTCAGTCACTTAGGTCTTATTAAATGAAAATTCTACTTAACAATAAAAATTTGAGCAGATGTACAATTAGTTTATTTATTCATATATAATAATTCTAGTTAATTGTTACTGTGCTCCAGCATATTCACAAGGTTGGTTTATGTCACATGTCGAGGACAAAAACAAAGCTTATTTTTTCATCACTTTATAGTTAGTACTTCTGTACCTAACACATTCCTTGGCCTGTGTAGTGTAGCAGAAATGTGTATTTATTCAGTGAGTGTGGTTCATCAATTGTTAGAAAGACATCAAAGTTCTAAATTCCACTCAATTTTGTATATGTATAAGGATAAACAGTGAACTATTTTGTCTCTTTTTTTGGTACTGAAAATCAAGCCCAGGACCTTGTGCTTGCCAGGCAGGCGCTGTGCCACTGAGTTTATCCTGACCCTGCGATTTTTTATTTAGTGAAGACAAGGTATATTGTTTTAAAATACTCAGCTATTGTTTTAATAATAAATTCTATTTTCACAAAAGCTTAATAATATTTTACAACTTTCCTGAGAAGCTATTATAAGAAATATCATTAAAATTATTACTACGCTTGATAATATATTCTCTGTTTTGAACAAGTTAGAACAGCATTGATTTTTCATGTATATTTTTTTGAGAGAGAGATTCAAAAAGTAATATTATTCACATGAAATTCAGAGAGCATAGAAATATACAGAGCAAAAGAATGATACCTTTATCCCTAAGGATAATCCTTCTTAACAACTTGGGCTGTTTGTCTTCAGATGTTTTTCTATATATGTGCCAATGTATACACGCATGCATATTCAACATGTGCTAATTATTATTGTGTGAAAATGAAGTCCTATGGAAAATATCATTTTGAAACATGTTTTTGTTCTCTCAAAAACAAGATGTTAGCTGGGTGTGGTGGCTCAGGCCTGTATTTCAGCACTCTGGGAGGCTGAGGTAAGAGGATCACAAGTTCCAGACCATCCTAGGAAACTTAGCGATCCTGGCAGGACCTCTCTCTCCAAAAAGGGGGGAAAGGCTGAGGTTGAAGCTTAATGCCAAGGCCCTGGGTTCTAGCCCCAGCACCACTAAAAAACGTTTCTATTCCAATACTCAGTGATCCACTTTGTTATTTTAATGACTGAATAGTATCTATTACATGAATACAATCATTTATTCACACACACGATTCTCTTGGCCAACATGCAGTTTTCAGTTATATTTTAAAATGCTTTAAATGCCAGTGACAAGCAGCTACTTAAAAATTGCTAAGAATGCTCTTAGGAAAGAGAGAAAGATGGAGAGGGGTGTGGGGGTGGGGGAGGAAAAGAAAGAAAAAATGAGCAAATTTTTCTTTAAGCAGTGATGGACCTTGGTGCATCCTGAGAATTTCTAGCCAGCACGTTGCAGACAATCTGGGATAGCTGATGCAATGACAGTGCAACTCACGTGGCAGTGAGGTAAGTATATAAAATTGTAAACTAACTCTTTGATTACAATACATGGCATATCTGTTGCAGAGAGTGCTCATGTTGGAGCTCTGTAGAGTTCTCCGGTTTGGAGCTGAAGCACCTTTGGGATCTCCTGGACCGCCAAACAAACAGCCGAGAGGGCTGAAGCTTCCCTGTCCCTGTACTCTGGATCATTCAGAGGTATCAGTTCTGCAATATTTTAATTCTTCACGCCTGCAGAAATAGTTATGCAGCAAGGCTAGTATGTCAAGATCCGATGACATCGATGGGTTCCAGGCAGGACCAACATTTCGGTTCTGTGATTTGGACCAGGCCTCGCAGCTCTACCAGCTTGATCAGAAAGGAAGTGGGGGGATTGGGAAGTACCTACCCTGGTCAGATGCTTGTGTTCAACTAGGAGAAACCAGACAACTGCGACCCCAATCCACAGTAAAACTGTGACTGTCTGGTTGGGTCAGTCCAAGCCAAGTTCTCGCCAATTAACCCTTTTCCAAACAAGTAATAAAAGCAGGAAGTGCACTGGTGCTTGGGCACCTTCTGAACACCATTTGTTTTGTTGATCTTGGATTCCTTTGCAGGAAATGTTCTAATATGAATGTGTTTCATCAGTTTAGAGTAGCACATTAGAAGAACAAATGTTCAGATAAACTTCCGAAAAGTTTTTTTAAAGTAAATCAGTGTATCACTAGATATGAATACAATGTAAGTTCACGATCATATTAGATGACCCACAGTGTGGGGAGCAATGATGATATTGGAGAGAGCAGTAATAAGAATGATAATGACCAGCTTGCACAATCCTTTGTGCTGGAACTGTAAGCACTTCACTTGAGTTACCACGTTTAAACCTCACTGAGACCCTGCGAATACACAAGAGGTGCTGTTACTTTCATTTTACTGTTGAGGAAACCGAGACATGGAAAAGTTGATCTACTGGCCAATGTCTTGTACCTAATAAATGGTACAACAGTGACTCAGACCAAGGGAGTCAGTCCTTGGAGCACATGCTTTTCGCCACTATTATGTCTAAGAAATCTAAAACTTCCAAGTTACTGTCTCACCAACCGAGGAGCAGTAAGCACCCCCAGAGCTCTGATCACGGTCTTAAGATCACATTTCCCAACAGAAGGATCCAGGCTACTTGGAGAAATGATTACCTCAGGGTCTGGGGCAGAAGTAAAATGAGCAAATTATGGTATATTGCCTTAAAGATAGTGAGAAAGCTATTAAAGAATAGTAGGGTCATTCTGAAAAGACTCAGGAGCCAACCTGAAGCTCCCAGTGGGCACAGATGTGATAGTTAAACATCAATGGGGATAACAGGTAGCACATCAGATATGTTTGCATCTATGGGTTCATAATGATGCTCAAAACTTGTTCGTGTCTACAAGGTCATTGGGGAGTAATTCATTATTGAATTGAAAACTAATCAATGCTCCCATTTTTTCTGCCTTCCCTGTGTGAACTGTACATGAAAAAAAAAACAACCAAAAAATCTTCTTTATAGAAATAAACCAGTTGATAAATGACAAAAAGAATGATAGGTTGAGTATCTTTAATTTGAAAGACCAGACCTGTTTCCATTTCAGATCTTTTCAGATTTTAAAATATTTGCATACAGGGCTGGCCAAATAGCTCAGCAGATTAAAGCACCTGCTAAAGCGCCTACTTAAGCAGACACAGTGGCCAGGGTTCGATCCCCAGTGTGCCATGCCAGTCCTGCCTGTGGGGTGTACTGAGACAGCAATTGAGACTGGGCGTGGTGGGGTGCGCCTATAATCCCAGCTCTTGGGAGGCTGAACACAGGCGGATCACTATGAGTCCAATCTATGTACTGAGACCCTGTAGACCCTGTACTAAAATACAAAGCAAAACAAGAAATAAAATATTTGTATATCTATCTATATCTACATCTGTATCTATCCATCTAAATAGCTACATAATGAGATATGAGATATTTTGAGGATGGGGGCCAGGTTTAAACATAAAATTCACTTATTTTTTCATATACACTTAATAGACAGAGCCTGAAAGTAATTTTATACAATACTTTTACTGTGCTACTGTTTTGACTATAGAGCAAAAAGCTGGGCATGCTTGGGCACACCTCAAATCCCAGCACTCAGGAAAGATTTGCTGAGGCGGGAGGATCGCTGCAAATTTGAGGCCCGTTTAGGCTCCACAGTGAGTTCAAGAACAGCCTAAACTACACAGAGAGATCCTATCTAAAAAGAAAGAGAGAAAAAAAGATTTAAAAGACATACTAGCCAATTGCAATGTGTGAGTCCTAATGGTAAACTAATGTGTTTCGTTCATTATTACTATTATTAATTATTTGTATTATTTACTATAAGGGAATGAATACCTAGGGCCTCATATAGTGGGCTGTAGTATTGCGTGATAGACTCAGCCCTTTTTATTTTATTTTGATATAGGATCTCACTAAGTTGTCCAGCCTGGCCACATAATTATGATCCTCCTGCTTCAGCTTTCAAAATAGCTACAACTCTGGACGTACACTACCACACCCAGATGTATTCTAATTTTTTAAACTGTAAAAAATGGTATTTATGAGAAAATTGATTAATTTAAACAATGACTGTATGTTAGATGATGTTAAAGAATTCTTTGAGAGCCAGGCAGATAGCTCAGCAGGTTAAAGTACCTGCTTAGGCAGACGGAAGACCAAGGTTTGATCCCTGGCATTCTGTGCCAGCCCCACTCCCGGGGCACACTGAGACAGCGATTGAGACTGGGCATGGTGGTGTGCCTGTAATCCCAGAGTTTGAGAGGCCGAAAGCAGGAAGATCACTACAAGTCCAATCTGAGTAGCGAGGCCCTGTGGGCCCCGTACTAAATACATTTTAAAAAAAAAGTTTAAAGAGTTGTTTTACAATAGGTTTGATAATAATATTAATTCTTAAAAACCTCTTTTATTGATGAAAAAATAATTTTTTAAAGATTTGCTTTAAAGTAACATGCAGTGAGGTAGGGGTGAGAGATGAAACAGAATTGATAACAATAGAACTTAAAGATTCATTATTATTATTTCTATTATTGTATTAGATTGAAAATTACCATGTTTTACATGAAATGCCTAAATTTTATTGCATAGTGTATACACTGATTTGGATTAAAAATATTTGAATAGTGTTATGGTTTGTGTATAGATGTCCCCTCAAAGCCTCATGCAGTCATGGAGAGGCTTCTGGACTTTGTGATTGCTTACTGTAGGTGTGGATGCTGCACCTGCCCTGGGGCAGGTAGTTTGCACTACAATGTAAGGTGGGGAGAGAGGCCAGCTAGCTGCCTGAGCTGCTATCACTCCTTTTGCTTTCTGCTCTTTGCCCACCCTGCACCCCCCTCACCCCCCCACCTCAGCCTCCCACCCCTACCATGAAAGGTTACCTCTGCCACGTGCCACTCTGCCTTGGATCCAGCTGAGTAGGGACTGAAACCTCCAGTCCCTGTGAGCTAAGTAAGCCTTTCCTTCCTTCATTTTGAGTGTTGGGTATTTGTCCCAGCAATGAGAGAAGAGCAATTGAGACAAATAGTTTGGTGCAAAATACTTCCGATAATAAGAAGCAGTGAGTCTTATTCTCTTCTCTAGGACTTTCATGTATGCCCTTTCTATGCCATGCTATAGTATGGGAAATATAACATGGAGTTGCTGTTAAAATAAGAATTTGAGCTAGCAATAGAAAGACAGATGGTACCGTAGTGTGACATATCAGCAAGCATTTATAACAGGTTTATAGCTGTTATTTGAACAGATTCATTTGCACTTTAAGTATTAGAATTAGAGTGCAAATTAATGAGTTCACCCTAACTCTTTGCCATAATGTCACAAAAAATTGTTAAACACCTACTCTGTGATAGGCACTGGCTTAAACCTTACCTTGCTACTGAAACAGAGGGATTTCTCTTACGTGGGGTTATTTGGCCTGAGAGAGGATATGATTTTGTTTTCAAAAGACAGTTTTGATGGTGTGGTATGGTGTGGTGCAGAATGCTGAGAAGGGGCCTGGAACGTAGGGGTGTGGCTCTGAGGACAATGGTGATGAGGAATGGGGTATAGGAGAGAATCTGGGAGGTATGTTAGGTGATACTTGATGATTGGCATGGAAATAAGAGAGTGAGAAGTCAAACGACTCAGAGGGCTGGTGAGATAGCTCAGTGGTCTAAAGCACCTGCTTAGGCAAGCTGAGGCAGGCGCAAAGGACCATAGTTCAAATCCCACAGCCCCAAGTCAGCCAAAAAAAAAAAGACTAGGAATCCCAACCAGGAGATCAAGGTCAACATGTGTGGACAACATGTACTCTCATTTGAGATGATGAGAGACTCACAATTCATTTCTATGGTCTTTCTTCTAGTAACCCATAACTGCAGTCTAATCATTAGAAAAGCATCAGACATTTCCAATAGAAAGATAGCCTCCAAAATAGGGAGAAGAGAAAAGAGGGGAAAGGAATTTGTAAAAAAAAAAAAAAGTGGAAAGGAAAAAAATGGAAAACATAACATTTGTAAATGTGGAGTGGAAGTAGAGTTGAAGGGAGGCAGGGAGATGGGGAAAAAAGAATTAAGATATGTTTTTTGCAGGTACAAATGCCCTACGATGAATGTGATTATTATGTATGCAAAATATGAACGAAAGTTTAAAAAGAAAGATACTCTACAATGGACTGGGGAGAGAGCTTGGTGGTCTAAGCACCTGCCTGGCAATCCTGCATGCTGCACCGGCCCCAGAACCCTGGGCACACAGTGCACGCCTGTAATCCCAGCGCTGGGGAGGCTGAGACAGGAGGATCACGATGAGTCCAAGCTGCATAGATAGACACTGTATCAAAATAGATAAATTTTTTAAAAACATTTTAAAGAAAGATATTCTACAAAATGCCTCCTTCAAAACTTTCAAGGGGGGGGAGCCTGGGCCTAGCTCAGTCCTTTAAGTGGCTGCTTCCACAAAGCTCTCAGCCTCAGGTTGCTGGAGTTCGAACCTCACAACTCTCCCGCTGGCCAAAAGTGCCCTGAAGCCATTCGAGGAAGAAAAAAAAAAAAAACTTTCAAGGACAGACAAATATGAAAAATCTAAGACAGTCTTATAGTCAAGGGACACCTAAGGAAACATGAATACATGCAGCATGGCATCCTGGATTGGATCCTAAAAGGAAAAGGGCTTT